CCTATGATTGTAGGTTCGAATCCCGATTCGCCCCGATTATGTTTCAAGGTTTGCCCGCACCATACCCGTGCCCGTGGGTTACACCGAAGTGGTAAATGTCTGAGACCTGCATTACTTCGGGCTTTCCTCCCACATTACGCTGACACGCCGCGATAAAACTGGAATACTAGCGGCGTTAAACCCAACTCACTCACTCACTCCCTACCATTATGCATTGCAAGACATGAGTTTCATGTGTCCAAATCGGGGCGGTTGGGATTTTACGACACTTCGACACAAAACGCAACTCAAACATTTCTAACTACTGTTAGATATACAAATATACGTACACTTGTACGTGTAAATACACACCCTACCAGTTGTATTAGATAGGACGGCGGTAGATATCATCTGGCAGCTGTGGTGGATGATTTTGTGTAAGATTTCTTTAAAGAATTTTTTTAAATGTACATCCATCCAATAATTAAGACTGATCATGTTTTTCTATATTTGGTGCGTTGTTTTATAACATGATGACTTATGCTGGATGTGACCAAAGATATTTTAAAGCAGGTGACATTTGGTGCGGAGCTTGGGTTGATGTGTACAGGTTCCTGTACTCGGAAAAGGACCTATTTGAGTTTGTTCAATTATTTTTATTGCCGCTTTTAAGGCCAGATTGTGCACACTTGTACATGTAATAGCTGTTAGATATTTAAAATAAATATAACGTTACCCTGGAAGTAATTGGGAAAACATATGGTTGTGTGTATTGTTAGGCCACGAAACATGATGCCAGTGATAGCTTCCTGACGCCATGTTTGTATTCTGGAGTAGGTGTGCTTGCTCTTCAGTGGATGTATGGCAATATTAGATACACTTGTGAAATAGTAAAGTAAAGCTGTATTCATGACGTTATTAATTAAGCCACATTGTACAGAACGAAGTTATGAAGATTCACTAGGAAATGTAGTCCACAGACAGTCCACAAAACATTTTGGCAGCAGTCAAATTCATACAGACCCCGAAACAAGTATATCCAATGTATCCCATGCACGTCTATAATTTGTAGCTTTTCTGTGGGCTCCTTTTTATAATATTTACCAGCCAGCAGAACAACATATGGCGACAGAACCTTCCGAAAAGCAGGTGCAACTGTTTGGAATGCACTGCCCATTGATGTCAGGGGATCTGAAGATGTCAACACCTTTAGATCAAAACTCAAAACCATCCTCTTCAAAAGAGCATACGACTGAGCGCTCTTGTGCAGGCAGTATGTCTGGATAAATAGCGCTATATAAATGCTTAATTTGAATTTGAATTTATTTAAGATAAATTAAGAACTGATTTTCCTTCTCTGAAATATTTTCACAGTGAGGTGACCATACATGTAGGATGTGTGTTTCCATAGCAAAATGTCTGCTAGTAGCGGATGGAGTCTTATTCAGGGTTTCATATTTCACTCTCTCCCCAGGAAGGCAGTGAAACCAACCCCCTCCCCACGCCCATCCCTCCCCTGACCCCCTGCTGTGCGTGAGAGTACACTGTCTTGACACTGGCATCGAGAGGAACTTTTGAACTGGAATAAAATTTTGACCAAATATGCATTTAAGATTTCCATACTATACAATACACATTATAATCACTAGGTAACATTCAAACAATATAGTCTGACACAGTCAAATGTCAAATGATATGCCAAAAGACGTTAAATATACCTTTTATACTTATTAAAATATACATGAAACCAATCTTCTATATTGTCATCATGTGAATGTGATTCAGTTATCGAGCTGTTGGCTGTTGGTACGTATAGTTTTAGTCAAAATCTCAAATTACAAATTGTCTTATACAACGTCAGTATTTTGAACGTCCGCCCGGAATAAATCAAATCCAATCCGCTGTTACTGTAATACAATGCGTTTCAGTGTAACAACAATGTCAGTCATGTTGAATTCATTCCCTTACCAGGCATTGCTTCTATTTACCCACTATAATGATACAATGTCTACTTCAGGGCAGTCAAATGCGGAAGTTCAAACTAATTACTGTCATCAGCGTGTGGGCCATCTGTGTAATAGCGCGTTCAGCATCATCTGTCGTGACATGAATCATAGATGGAGCTGTATGGTTGTTCACATCCATATCATACAGCTGAAAGTCCGCCAGAGTGCACAACGTCCTCAGGGTAAGTCATTGTCTTATCTCATCTGGGTTCAAGACGGCCTCCCAATCTGGTGCCAAATGGGAATGCTTTTGGTAGATTCTGAGTCCCGTTCATGCCCTGACTAGAGCGGAGGCTCAAATAGCAAATGAGTAAAATACAGTAAACTACGGTTATAACGAACTCAAAGGGACCACTAATGTTAGTTCGTTATAACCGTAGTTCGTTATAAGCATATATACAGCATTTATACAACAAATGGCCGGGACTAAAAAATAAGCTCGCTATATCGGTCAGTTCGTAATAAGCGTGTTCGTTATAACTGTAGTTAGTTCTGTAGTTGCCAGCAGCAAGTGACCATTGGGACATAGGGTTACTATGCCACTTCCTCGCAACCCAGCTGTATTGACATCACCCCTTTACATTACAACACATGGGCTGTCGTGTAAATGTGTGATCACTATGTCATATCCCAGCAACGAACAGTCTGTTGTAGCTGCCCAACGTGTGTGAGCTGTACCTTGAGTAAATACACGAATCTAGTGATGGCCTAAGTTAATTGTAATTTATTTAAAATAATTAATCATAATTGTATCTCATAACAACTATTAAATGTCAACGATAGAGAATATTCAGTCTCGGTTATCCGCTGGAACAGATAACGTGGGGCGTAAAGGGTAAAATAGCGATGAAAATTATAAGAATGGATCACAAAAAGTCAGCGACGACACACGGTGTTCGCGAAAAGGATAAGCATATTCTGCCCGGCGGGTATCACCCGCCACTGACAAAATTTACACAAGTGAGTGTCTGTTTGTTGCCTGCAGCCACGAGACAGTGGCCTGTCAACAACCCAGACAATCACGTGACGGGCGAGGAAATCCAGCGACACGATAGGGTTTTTACTCATTTTGTTTAAACTGAAAACGATATGTTAAGTTTGAATTAATTACATTTGCAGTGAACAAAATCGCGTAGCTGTCCTACAATCTGTGCCTACGTTGTTAATGTACAATGTAAGACTCACGATAACTCACAAACAACAATATAGAACGAGGCGTGGTTTATTTTACGATGAAACACTGTTCTATCTTGACATCATTATTGGAGTTGACGTCGTAAATTGGACGACATTATTTTTGAGAGAGTAATGAGTTGTTCCCCTTCGATGTAGCTGGGCAAAGCAGATAAACGCAATTGCCAAACGATCGCACCCAAAAGTGGGAGAGATATGACAATCAGTATTAGGTGAAAAGATGCAGATAATGCAGATATGAGAATTATTTGAGACTTTTCAGCAAACACCAAACTTAATCCCCTCACTTCATAAAATGGACTTGTCCGAAATTGTTGCGATCGGATTCAGGGAATCCTCATTGTTTAAATGCCCGTAAATAAAGTGTCGGCCGAAAGAAACTTTACCACTTTTAAAATGATATTGCAAAAATTTAAAAACGTTCCAACTAAATCATTGCAAAACACATCATCCACACACAACAATGTTATATGCAGAAAGTGATACAGGTCCACGGCACGTGTGTTTGTGGAATGCGAAAAAGTGAAAAACACGTGCCGCTTGGGCAGCCGAAACTACACGTGCAATAAGAGTATATAAACGATACGGATGGCATGTCGAACACTCTCACTGATAAAAAAATGAAAACTACCACAGAAATGCCAGGACTGATACCCGAACAACGCCACCGGACCCTGGGTACGATACAGATGGGAGCCATCATTGCTAGAACTTTTGGTTGTTCCCGTGTTGCAACGTTACGTACAAACCGGGTAGACATCAGATAAACCAAGAACAGGGAGATTCAAGGTAACTACGTCCAATGGAGACCGGTACTTGCGTACTTTGCATGTCTGATAGTAACGTCGTCAGTGACAAATGCCTGGACATTTGGTTAGTCAACAGACATTGGCTAGGAGACTAGAGCTCAAAGAATAAGGGCTTCCTGACCTTACAGAAAACAATTATTGACAACCCAACTTCGTTGTCAAAGATTCAGATGCGCTCGGTCTGTACGTCCTTAGCAGCGACGTGACTGGTAGAGGTAGGTAGTCTTCACCGATGAAAGACGTTTCTATCTGTTTAAAGCTGATGGAAGACGGCATGTTTAACACAAAGGGGAGGACGAACGGCGGCATGTTTTGTTTAGGAGGTCGTGCCACATGGTAGAAGGGGTGTTATTGTGTGAGGAGGAATTTGTGGGCAGGAGAGAACACAACTGGTCATCGTGAACGGAAATTGGACAGTTTAGCGTAACATGGGTATCGTGCTGAGGCTATGCAAGCCAATTCGGTATGAGTTCACCGGAATCTATTCCGAGTATCAGGAGTATCTTGAGTCTGTGGAACGGCAAACTAAAACCCGAACCGGTGCTCATTTCACGGGTGTTCGTGCTGTCAGGCCGATAGCCTGGGTCCAACCCGATGATCTTGCATGTTGCCCGGCCACTGTGTGTAAGCTGTACCGAGAATTGACACCAACCAATTTTTCTTGTAATGATGATCCGTTTCATCTGGCAACGAACACCATACGGTGTCCTAAATCTGGAGAAGCTTGGATCAAAAGACAGGGGTATGCGATTGACCAATCAGAATCGATTTCCAAATTCATGGTAGAATATCCAATATTAGGAAAAAAACACAAGGTATTTCACTTAATACACTGTCTATTCCTAATTTAGAATATTTACAATCCTAATTCAAACATCTATTTGCTTTTCTTGGATTGGATAAATTTTCAAGTAGGTGAGTTCAGAATAAGGGTGACAGAAAACCATATTTAACAGTGCAAAAATGCAAAATCGTAACACATTTTTACACACATTGAGAAATTGTTTTCAACAAAGCATGACAAAAATTGTTGATGTTGTTTCTTGAATATTTATTGTGACATTTGCATAATACATGTAAAAAGTCTTCGTATTGACCATTATGATCATACACAGTTATATACACTTTGAGCCATATATTATAATGAGAATGTCTGAATGATAGTTATGTATGTCCCACAGGTGAACGAAAGTATTCAAATTAAAAGTCGTTAATAGTAGGAACTATTTCTAAACGAAAGCCACTTATGAAAGCAATTTACTCTTGAGATCATAAATACAAAATGCATTCTTAAAGGTTTGATATTCAAAGTTTTAAATCAAACAGTTTCTGTTTTACAAAAATATGGTGTTTATTGCTTGCAGCAATTGTAATTGTGTGTCATTTGGAGGAAATGTTCATATATATATATGTGGAATATTTAATGTTAATGTTGGAATTGCTTCTGTTAAGATTCGGTAGAAGTTCACAGCATTGTGTTTTGACAATGATCAGTTGTCAGGAATGTATGACTATCTAATGTAGGTAATGGCAGTGAAAGTAACTATATTTAGATGCTTTTCTTTTTGAAATTTTCTAGAACAGCAAGACTTATCCAGCACTGTATACAACCTTCTAGAAGGTATTTAACCTATAAAAGGGGACAAATACGTGCCTCGCTCATCTCATATTACATCTCACATTACATCAAGACTAGCGGATATGTGAAGATCATTGTTTGTACCCTGAATATTCACTGGCCACTGTTGCTGCTAGGTGAATATTTTCCACTGTTATTATATTTTATGCTGCCATTGCAATCGTACTGCCATTGAATTTTGTAGTGCCACTCTGTTTCGTAGTGCCATTGTAATTACTTTGCAGTAATTTGTATTGGTGTGTAAACCTAGTTCATTTTATAATACAATTGTTTATTGTATATGATTTATTTGTGGTTTGTTGGTTTCAAACTGAATTCATTAACGTATCCATTTCTGGGTTAACTTATTGTTTCAATTTGTAAGTGGACATGAAACAAATGGAATGAATACAGATTATACGGATAATAACGTTGATGGGAGCTGATAAATGAATTTAAGTATCAAAACGAATCAATAATATCGTCGTTTAACCACAGTCTAGAATGATAATGTCTGATTAGTTTCACTTAATGTCAATGTTGCATGAGGTTAAAATAATATTCAGATGAAAGGATGGCGATATCGTGACAAAAATAAGGCTTTGCATATTACATTTACATGAATGAAAGATGAAGAGTCTCTTGTATATTGTCAAGGCTAGGAAGATAATTTAACATCAACTGATTGTCAATATCAGAATTCATTTATAATCTTTATGACTTACTCACGTTTAAATCATACACTACCACACACTGCATTCGTCCATACAGCATTACTATCGTACGCAAACAATACTACATTTCATCACTATCACATGGCCTTGTTACCAGAACTGTTCAAAGCTTTGAGTTCCCCTTCTTTGGTTTTGGTGTTCCTGGAACAGTCCCATTTACGAGCAAGAGGCTCGAGGAGGAGAAAGACTGACGAGATTATAGCGCAAGCACCTAATAGATGAGAGGACGCATGGTATGTTCCCGTGATGTCTCTTAAGGCTCCTGGAAGAAAATACAAAGATGAGTGAGGAGACGAGCACAATCCTACTCCATATTACACAAATACATTTCCCAGAATGATACTCTTTTTCAGTAGCACTTTGTGTTGTTCAAAGTAAATACATACTAACCAACAAGGGCCGTGCCAAATTGTGGGGCATTTTACTATATATATTCATACATACCTTGTCCTGTGAATATGCGTCCTAACCTGCCACTTTGTTACACGAGGGAGTGAATGGGGTTGTTTTAAAACTGCTTGAACAGTATTTCAGTTATTAAACAGCGGGAATTGTTTTTTACACTTTTCGTATGGCTTGTTGGAGGAGATTCAAAACTAGCATATTCTGTATAGGTACGTGTGCTATGGAGCTAGTTCAGGGAACCTATTTGGGATGAACCTGCAATTCAAATTCGTGATCAGCACATCCTGGAACAATTGAAGTACACGGAACCTCCTTTGCCCTAAGACAGAGTACATACTATTTTAATGTTCTAATTCTACAACCAATGACAATCATAACATCCTTGATTGTAACTAATTTAGTGGTGCGAGGGGTGATTGATAAGTTTTGAGCCTCACATAGAAAGACTTGACATAAAGACATTGAAATTTTTTTTTTTTCAATGTAGTCCCCATCCACATTGATAAATGTTTCGTCACCAATGTTGGAGGGATTTTGTCACAGTTTCGCGGAAGCCCTATTCTTGGTTGTCCAAAGGGTTCTCCACAGCTGCTATGAAGGCATCGAAATGGGTTCCCACTGGAGCTACATGTAGGTACGCTAAACAAAAGGGGTCGCGTCAGAACGACCTTTCACCCGACCAATCAGAGCGCTGCTTACCAGATCATGAAAGTGACAGTCGGAATGTGATTTCTCATCATGCAGCATCTAAAACTTTAAAACGGGGTATTCCGACTGAATCTATACAGTCTAGACCATATATCAGCCATTCGAGAATGTTCTTCTGTTCAGGTTTCAATCAACCATCATAGGTTTGTGGATAACCATCATGTATGCATGTTCATGTCATATTTACCCATGTGGATTGTGTTTATTAAAATGAAACTACTTACCCAGCACGGGATGTATTGCAGCGAGAGAGACACCAGTGAAAACCTGCACAAATCCAAGAGCTTTAGGAAAGGTCTCCAGGCCAAGAAGTTCAACCATCACCACAGGATTCATTGCAGGAAAGCCACCAGAAAACATCCCGAATAGCACAGAATACATGATCAAAAGGTTGAAGGAGGTATAATATTTTGTTAATTGGTACAACACACCTGTAGCAGTCATGAATATAGCAAGTAAATGATGAGCCCTGATTTTTCCTGATTCAACTATCACTCCTGACAGAAATCGGCTGAGACAGTCGACTCCAGCATATATTGTGATCAGCAATGCTGATTCCACATTTGTAAAGCCAGCTTCCTCTACGGCTGCTGGGAGGTATGCGGCAAAGAGTGAAACTGCGCAAACACCGAAAAAGTTGAAAAAGGCAATCACATAGAACGTAGCTCGTTTCAAAACTGAGAAGTCAAGTGATCTTCTAACCTTCGTACAACAGGAGACATTTCCTTCAAATTCTTCAACATTTTCAGAATGGGTAATGATGTTGTTGAGACTTAGAGTTGAGACTATATTGATGTCAGCAATGCTGGCGTATTTAAGATAACTGGACTGTGACAGTGTGTCAATGAAACTACCGAAGTAGCTGTCGTGTCCTTTGTGGGTTTGGTGAAGACGGATTGGAGACAACGGGTCTTCATTCTCACCAGGAGAACTGCTCTCATCGGAAATGTTAGTCTCACTCTGAGAACTTTGGACACCATCGGCGGATCCATCGGGGAGAAGAGGCTCATTTTGAACACGGAGGGAACGTAGGACACCTCGTTTATGTAGTTGAATTGTTGGGTCAGATTCTGTTCGTATTCGGAATGGTTCATGTTTCTGCATGAGCATCTTCGCAACAGATATGTTCTGTTTGGGACGACCATTCACAGCATCAGTTTCGGTGTGTCCATTTCTGATTCCATTTCCAATGTGGCCGATTCGAGACAGAGTGATTGGTGTGGGAGGAAGGGAAATATTGTCGTTTATGGGCTCTATAGAAACAATTTCAAAATCACTTTTACTTTTAATCTGTTCCTTAAACCTCTCCAATACATCAAGTCCATTGGTTTCTTCAGGTTCCAGCCTCTGTCTACATGGCGCTGGTCTGTACAGAAGAACAAAGATCAGAATTTCCATAAGTAGTCCTCCACTTATTAGAAGCGTGCCTCTTAGTCCGTACTCGGTCAACAGATATCTGATGAGTTGTGGTACTATCATCCCCCCAAGGCTTACTCCACAGCTACTTATTGCCTGAGCAAGGGCCCGCCTCTTCTCAAAATAAAGACCAATGATGACAAGACCGGGACCATAGAGTAAGGCTGATCCCATTCCTGCAAAAAAACAGTCGTGTGCTGAATCTTCAATTTGTGAATAAACTGCACACATATATATATATATATATATTATATATAGTACATATACATAATTACATAATATTACATATATATATATATATGTGTGTGTGTGTGTGTGTGTGTGTGTGTGTGTGTGTGTGTGTGTGTGTGTGTGTGTGTGTGTGTGTGTGTGTGTGTGTTTGTGGGTGTGAGTGTCTAACCAAAACGCAGCTGGAGAGTTGTATACTCAAATATACTTTTAAACCAGTGGAAGCTCAAACATCAACCAGGAACAGCATTTGACACCTTGTATATTTGAGAAAACAATACGTCATCTTCAGCGGATTCAGATCGACCCATGAACGTGGTTAATGCTTATCTGTGATCGAGGTAAGGAATACTTGATTGTTGTGAGGAGATTTCAACATGTTGTATGAGTGAGTACAGGTTGAATCTGCATGGGCTCACCTGACAGGATACTCTGAGTGAAGATGAGGAACTCAATGTTCATGGCAAAGAAGCTGAGGATCCCACCGAGGGACATTAAGATGCCACCAAGTATGCACGTCGAACGAATGCTGAACCTGTCCAGAACAATGCTGAGTCCGAACAAGGCTGAAATGATACATTGAATACTAGTATGTGTACAAAGTAACCTATGCTATATCTCAACTGTATTAAGAATGTATCAGTAAGAGTGTTGTATAGTAAACAGTATTGCACTTGTATCACACTGTGCAGCTTATGCTGCAACAACCCAAGGTGTCGCAGGTCTTCAACGTGTTCCATGTTGGATGAAACTCTCATACCACGGAACCTGAATAGAGCGTAGGCAACTGAGCAGGTGTAAATTAGTGTAAAATAATCATTCTGAATATAATATTAGAACAATGCATGCCATCATTGTAATTCTTAGCTTCTCTGTATTATTAGACTAAAAGAGACAGACAGACAAGGGGAAGACAAAGGCATAAAAGAGCGTGGCATATGTTTCCATGACAAATAAATAACTTAGTATTCATAATGGCGGTAAAATATTCAAAGCAAAAGTTGTTCTGGGCAATATTGATGAAACACAATGAATATCAATACTTATTTTATATATTTATGTCGTGATGCCGAATGAATCGTGTTTTCATGTTTAAGGCTGTGAAATGCTATTGATACGCAAGTGTATGTTCAGATATCAGTCAGATAGGTGTCACACTACCTTCGTATTTTGAAGATGAATCGTACATACCTGTTAGGCTATATGATGCAGAATAGATCCCCATGATTAGTGACGTCACAGACGTTGAAGCTTTGAATTCCTTCAGGAATTCAACAAAAAGGATGCCAAACGAACGGTACATGCCAACTTGAATCAAGTTGATACAGAATGTGGCTGTATAAGTAAACAAATATAGGATACAATAAGGTAATTTAGTCAATTATGTTGGTGGGGTGAGCATATCTTGCTTGGAATCATCTTTGTCATGGTTGTTGGTACATTTTCGAATCTGGACCAGAGACCACTCTGTATACATGTAGCAATGTTTAACTATCTTCTGGGTCCAACGACAGTACATATTCGAATCTGGACCAGAGACCACTTTGTATACATGTAGCAATGTTTAACTATCATCTGGGTTCAAAGCCAGTACTCATTCGAATCTGGACCAGAGACCACTCTGTATACATGTAGCAATGTTTAACTATCATCTGGGTTTAAAGCCAGTACATATTCGAATCTGGACCAGAGACCACTCTGTATACATGTAGCAATGTTTAACTATCTTCTGGGTCCAACGACAGTACATATTCGAATCTGAACCAAAGACCTCTTTGTATACATGTAGCAATGTTAACTATGATCTGGGTCAAAGCCAGTACTCATTTGAATCTGGACCAGAGACCACTCTGTATACATGTAGCAATGTTTAACTATCATCTGGGTCCAACGACAGTACATATTCGAATCTGGACCAGAGACCACTCTGTATACATGTAGCAATGTTTAACTATCTTCTGGGTCCAACGACAGTACATATTCGAATCTGGACCAGAGACCACTTTGTATACATGTAGCAATGTTTAACTATCATCTGGGTTCAAAGCCAGTACATATTCGAATCTGGACCAGAGACCACTCTGTATACATGTAGCAATGTTTAACTATCATCTGGGTTTAAAGCCAGTACATATTCGAATCTGGACCAGAGACCACTCTGTATACATGTAGCAATGTTTAACTATCATCTGGGTCCAACGACAGTACATATTCGAATCTGGACCAGAGACCACTTTGTATACATGTAGCAATGTTTAACTATCATCTGGGTTCAAAGCCAGTACATATTCGAATCTGGACCAGAGACCACTTTGTAAACATGTAGCAATGTTTAACTATCATCTGGGTTCAAAGCCAGTACATATTCGAATCTGGACTAGAGACCACTCTGTATACATGTTGCAATGTTTAACTATCATTTTATAATAATCCAGTTTTTGTCAGACAATCCAGTTTCTTACATCAAGAGCATCTGTCTACGCAACTGGGATAAGGTGACCTGCATCAACCATGTCCATATTTCAAGACATGTATTTGATATTCATAATAACACCACAAAAGCTACACAGTGGCGACAAAGCGGTACCAGCATCACAGATACAAATAATACATTTTTGAAAATGAAATACATATAATTATTTTAAAGTTAAAACATTTATCTAAATAGTAAATTAGAAGGACTAAAATTTACAGACATTTTTCGTATCTTTTTTTGTTTGGAGAGAGAAGTAGTGACAGTAGTGACTGGTATCCGAAGTGTGCCAACAGGTGTCGAATCGCTGTCTAAGATGGCTCAAATTTCGTAGTTCTAAAGATCACGACGGCGATACAGACCGTGAAGTAGTTTGTCTCACAGTCCCTGAACCATATTATTTTCCCTTCCGACCAGGCCTTACTGTAAAGCTTTAGCCCCAAATGAAACAAGCCAAGATGTTGAACAGGTTCAGGCTGAAATTTCCATCCCACTGGGACTGCTTTTAAATCTTAAAATAGTCTCCGGTTTTAATCAAAATAATATATTTTCAGAGACTAAGCGTTAGTCTAACCGTGAAGTACAACTATCCAAAAGATCCCATGCATGTCTATATTTCTTCAGACAGACTCTCCATGTTCCTATCGATATATACGGAACCGCAAAAGAAACGTCACCCCAAGTAACATTGCATGAAAAGTTGTCATTTAAATATCTGGGTAATTCTTGTCAAAATTTCTAAAATTTAACACCGGGAAAATGAAATTTGATGATAAAAAAACAAAAGCAGATGACAATAAAACCGATCGCCCAAATGCATCACGACAACGGCCATGGTGACCCGATGCACGTGAGTTCCGTGCAAATTGAAATGCACATGCGTTCCCCTATTTCTTGCCCTACAAATATCCACCCAGATCGGATATCATTCATTCGTTATTGAATTGCTACCCCATGCCAATGCATTTCAAATCCACGTAAGGACCATATGCAGGCTACACCAGTCCACCAACACTGCAGATGACCGACCACGAAGTGGAAGACCCAGGGTCACCATCCGACGTCAGGATCGTCAGATTGTGCGACAGCATCTTCAAGATCGCTTTGTTACTGCTGAGGAAACTGCTGGGGACCATGGGGACACACCAGCGACACATTTGAGCGGACACCGTGCGTCGACGATTGACGAGCAGACACCTCCACTGTCACAAGGCACACCGAGGAACCATTCTGACACCCGGCATCATCGGGACCGTCTTCAGTGGGCAACGCAGCATCAGCATTGGCGCCATCAGCAGTGGAGAAGATTCCTCTTCTCAGAAGATAGCCGTTACTGTATCTCAACAGCAAAAGGCAGAGAGAGTCGGGTGACGCCGTGGGTAACGTTATTCGGATGCTTGTTTTTTTTTAAGATAGACTCGTTGGATGGTCCTAGCATCATGGTGTGGGTTGGAATTGGTCTTGCGCAGAGTGTCGGCCCTGTGGTCTTCTAGAACATCGGTCCAGGGAGAGGCAATGGTGTCACAGCAGCTCGGTACATTGATCAAGTCTTGAGACCACACGCCATACCTCATTTGGCACGTCGCCACAACTACGAGTTTCAGCATGATAACGCCCGTGTCCACACTGCCAGAGCAACAGCAGATTGGCATCAGAACCATGCAGTGGCCTGCCCTCAGTCCCGATTTAAATCCCATTGAGCACCTGTGGGACGAGATTCAAAGACGGTTGAATGACGTCCGACCAAAGCCGACTACTGCAACTGAACTGCGTCAGGCGTTCCTCAGAGTGTGGGCTCAAGTGCCTTTTGCCTTCATCAACCGCCTCATCCATTCCATGTATCGACGTTGCACGACAGTCATCAATGTACATGGCGGACACACGAGATACTGACTTGTAATGCCATTTTCTCAGAGACGAGTGTTGTGTTCCACTTTAAGAACATTTGACACTTTAATTTCAACCTGGATGATCAGTTTGGCCAGGTTTAATCTATTTAATATGTCTCAAAGTATGTTTACAGTGTGTGAACAAATAAGATTACTCATATATCTATTCATGGTGACGTTTCTTTTGCGGTTCAGTACATATTTAAACATTTGATAATTGTTTGGGATAAGATCGAGAATCAATACTACTAAAACAACTTAAAGAACATCTATAATTAGAAGACTGTGACAGAGTCGGACGTTATTTAACTTCTACTGAGTAATATGTTTTAATCTACGACCGCGTGACCTAATGCAAACATGAAAACAATGGAGAATTGAAATTTTCAAATTTCCACGAAATTAATATTTTGACCTCCCTTCCCCAACATTAACCTCTCATAATGTTTTCTTTCCAAATTGATGATGAACATATTCGACTAAATACCACCAAGGTTCAAATATCGTTACTTGATTATATTTTTCACTTTGTATTTTTGTTGTACAATGATTATATACTACGTTAAAAGAACTGATATAACAAACAATACAAATGTATTCAATACTAACGTACCTCCAACAATGACCCATGCCCAACCACGATCTATGGGTAAGTTGTTTTTTATCTTGTTATCCTCGTCATGGACTTCTGTGGATGCTCCTCCGTTCTGTTCGCTGACCTTCCGAATCGTCATTGTGCTGCTGCGACCGACTGAAATACATCAGATGAAGCAATACGTACTTTGAGATCCTGTCTCTCTCCATCTAATGGTGAAGTATTTTTTCGTTAAAGGACGACATCTTCTACCACAAGTCAGTCAGTGTTTTTCAGGCGTATTTCTTCGATATTACAGCGTATCAGTGAGTGAGTTTGCTTTAACGTCATTTTTAACAGTATTCCAGTTATATCACGGCGTGTCAGCTTTATTTGGGAGAAAGCCCGATGTGATGCAGGTCTCAGACGTTTATCACTTCGGTGAAACCCACTAAAAGATTGAAGTGTGTTGCTGTGCGAATTGAAACACACCATATCACTGAGAGATTGAAGTTTGTTGCTTTGCGAATTGAAACATGCCATATCACTGAGAGATTGAAGTTTGTTGCTTTGCGAATTGAAACACACCATACACTGAGAGATTGAAGTTTGTTGCTTTGCGAACTGAAATACACCATATCACTGAGAGATTGAAGTAAGTTTTGATTCCTTTCGCTGCAAACTATGTTCCTATATTTTATGGTGAGTGAATTAATGTTTACTTAAAGACACCAAAATAAGACATCTCTTTATGCATTGATTGTGGTCTGTCCTAAACATGATACAATGCATCCTTAAGTTCCTGTCAGCAGTTGCAGTGCGTCACCGTCAGGACTTGCTGAGAGAAATTTGCTTCGCGATATATTTTCCTTTGTGAAAAAGAACCATATTTCCAAAACAGACAAGGAACTTTATGTCAAAATTTGGGATTTGTCTCCACATATTATTTGTTTCCAAATATTATTATTTGAATTGATAAGAGTATTTTATTGATAGTGTAACTGTAGAACTCAAACACATTTAAATATATGATTCGATATGTTTCAATCGGAATTGTGTTCTTTTCTTATATGAGGCGGTATGATAGCCTAGTAGTTAATATATCACTCCCGACATGGTTATAAATAAAGTGTGAAGTCCATTCTGGTCCCCGATATTGCTGAATTGATAAGCAAAGCGGCTTAAAAATTTGCTCTCTCATAACTATATTTTCTCGTTTGAAAATATATGACTTAATTCCCAGCAGTGGTGTCCGGACCAAACCGATTGTCGGATTAACGAGTGTCTGATTAACGGGACATAACGATATATCACGGCGACCTGTAAGTAGTCGAGTCTGGACCAAGCAAACCAATGCCATACCCATGGGGCCCGTCCACCCGATTCTCATTTAACCGCCTCTTCCGACAACACGATGCACTGGGTGACCTACTTGACCAGGAACGCTATTGTAACGTTAATGAAACACCTGTACTTTCTCCGTTGCATTTGACGCTTATATTGTCGGAAAATACAATCTTTATAAATATAATTATACGTACTATAGAAGGATAATACAAGAATACATAAAAGATAAATCTCGGAAAGACTAAGCCTAACTTAAGCCACAGTATCCACTTAAAAAGCGTTGTATTCCGTGTTTTCCATTAACTGCAAATATTGACATTAACACAAACTGTATAATTGGTTAGATATATATGTAATAAATGCATACAGTCACTAGCGACATTTATTTCGCGTCAGCAGATTCGTACGGAAATAATTATTTCGCCTTCTGGTTGAATTACGTTTTGTTCAACACATTACACAACATTAAGTACTTCCTGTATTGATGCCTTATTGGTTTAATGACCATAACCTACACGTGAGGTAGCAGCTGTTGCAGGCAATCAATATCCATGTTGTATTTATATTAATTATCTCCATATTTATAACAACAACAATGCGATAAAAACCGGTCCCATGATTTAAAATGGGGTGACCAATAAACAGACTAGAATATTGACCAACTTTGGACATTCGGGATCAGTGATATGTAACATTAAATGTATTAGCTGTAAAAGTAAAGTATTCCATGAATGTACGAATGTACACTGATGGTTGTGTGAGTATTCTGCTTTTTAATATCCTTGCTAATGGGTTTCAAGAGACAAATATGATAGGCGTTTTTTAGAAGATGATGGATGAAAAGGTAGACCCAATATATGGAACCAACTTCTTTTATGTACTAGTATAGCCACGTTTCGGTATAGAAACTTATACTGATGTCAAGCAGGCCTACATAATCTGAGCATGGTTCAGAACTATAAGGGGCGGTCGGGTAGCCTAGTGGTTTAAGCGTTCGCTCGTCACGACGAAGACCCGGGTTCGATTCCCGACATGGGTACATTGTGTGAAGCCCATTTCTGGTGTCCCCCGCCGTGATATTGCTGGAATATTGCTAAAAGCGGCGTAAAACCATACTCACTCACTCTGGTGTCCCCCGCCGTGATATTGCTGGAATATTGCTAAAAGCGGCGTAAAACCATACTCACTCACTCAGAACTATAATGTTTTGTGAAGAATTAAGAGTAACGACGACATACAAGGGATACCTGCACTCACCCACATGAGTGAGTGAGTTGAGTTTAACGCCGCTTTCAACAGTATTACAGTTACATCACGGCGTGTCAGCTTAATGTGGGAGGAAAGCCCGAAGTGATGCAGGTCTCAGACGTTTACCACTTCGGTGAAACCCACGAGCACGGGTATGGTGCTGACAAACCTAGAAACATAATCGGGGTGAACCGGGATTCGAACCCACAATCATAGTTTTCTGGCGTGTCCAAGGGACGCAATTCTGTACAGCAAATCGCGGCGCCTTAGACGACTGGGCCATCCGTGACCCCTCATCCCACATGAAGCTAACATGCCATGATATACATGTAACTGCAATACTGTGCTGTATTGGGAGATACCAAATCGTTGGCACCGAGAACAACTTGGTAATTGGGATGCAAGCGGGATATTTCTAAAGCGTCTATTTGCATGTGTTTGCATTATTATTATCATTATCATTATCATTATTATAATTATTATTATTTTATTATTATTATTATTATTATTATTATTATTATTATTATTATTATTATTATAGTAATTATTATTATTACCAACATAAACTCGGGAATGTATGTGACTGCAAGATAAACAGTTGAACTAAGATAACCCAGTTGAACAACACTTTGGATTTTAAGCTCAACACGAGACGTGAAGGAGGTTTTGTTGACTCATCACGTGAGGTCAAGTGCACACATTGTATTTTTAGGAGTGTATTCCAGGGAATACTGCAACGTCTCCGCCACTACTATTTGGCGTATATTTAAGCTGAAACCACGTCTATCATCCAAATACCGAATAGATTACTGGGAGTACGTTATCATTTCTTTGATCATCTAAGTCGCATATACACTGCTTGAAAGCGAATATTTACAAAACTAAAAAAAGCGGTCCCCGTTTGGGTCATTTGCGGACAAATGTGCTGATAATAAGACCGGGTAACTATAATGAACCGCAAAAGAAACGTCACCCCAAGTAACATTGCATGAAAAGTTGTAATTTAAATATCTGGTTAATTTTTGTCAAAGCTTCTAAAATTTAACATGACCTTGTCCTGGAAAATGAAATTTGATAATAAAAAAAATCCCAAAGCAGATGACAATAAAACCGATCGCCCAAACGCATCACGGCAACGGCCATGGTAACCCGATGCACGTGTATTCCGTGCAAATTGAAATGCACATGCGTTCCCCCATTTCTTGCCCTATAAAAATCCACCCAGATCGGATAACTTTCATTCGTTATTGAATTGCTACCACATGCCAAGTTTGACAAGAAATCAGCGACACCAAGCCCTTGGACGATTGCAAACTGGACAAACCGCCCGGCAAGTAGCCAATGCATTTCAAGTCCACATAAGGACCACATACAGGCTCCAGCAACGGTACCAGACCACCAACACTGAAGATGACCATCCGACGTCAGGATCTTCAGATTGTGCAACAGCATCTTCAAGATCGCTTTGTTACTGCTGCGGAAACTGCTCGACAGACCATGGGGGCACACCAGCGACACATTAGTGCGGACACCGTGCGTCGACGATTGACGAGCAGACACCTCCTCTGTCACAGGCAATCCCGAGGACCCATGCTGACACCACGTCGTCGTCGGGACCGTCTTCAGTGGGCAGCACAGCACCAGCATTAGCGCCACAATCAGTGGAGAAGAGTATTCTTCTCAGACGAGAGCCGTTACTGTATCTCAACAGCAGATGGCAGAGTCTGGTGACGCCGTGGGTAAAGTTATTCGGATGCTTGTGTTTATTGAGAGAGACTCTTGGGGTGGTCCAAGCTTCATTGTGTGGGGTGGAATTCGTCTTGCACAAAGGGTCGGCCCTGTGGTCTTCCAGAACATCGGTCCAGGGAGAGGCAATGGTGTCACAGCTGTTCGGTTCATTGATCAAATCTTGAGACCACACGCCATACCTCATTTGACACGTCGTCGCAACCACGAGTTTCAGCATGATAACGCCCGTGCCAACACTGCGAGAGCAGCAACTTCCAGGAGTAACTTCCACCAGCAGTTAAGTTTCAGATTTCAGCAAATCCAAAGATATACCATTTGTATAGTATAAACTCCCTACCAGTACCCAATACTGAGACCTCTAACAATGCCACACAACCACTTGCTTGGCATCTTTGCTTTGACAAACAAACACTATTCTGTCAGGCTTAACAAACAGTCTACCACACAATGTTCTGCTTCTCTTGCACGTCACTGTCCCTTTACACCCAAGCTTGTTTCTACAACTGCACATTCATGTGAGGTACCACACAATGTTCTGCTTCATTGCACGTCACTGTCCCTTTTCACCCAAGCTGGTTTCTACAACTGCACATTCATGTGAGGTATCTCTTTTCAATAATCAACTTGACCAAATTAAGCAAGCATGTTACTTTCATGTTATTCCCAAAGTCCAACACCAAAACTAACAGAAATAGCTTTTTCTGTGGCTATAGTTTACCACATATTCCTACTTCTACAAGGACAAGTTAGCTTGAGACGAGCGCGATCTCACTATGTATATGTAGCTCACAGGAACTCGTTAAATACCATGTGTTTCCTCGTATATGATGTTT